TGCTGTCCTTGCTTTGTTGCATGCAGGATTCTCATTCTGTTGTCCTCAAACTTCTATGATTTCATCATCAACCTGACTTCACAGGTTGATGCATTCCTAAAGTTGTCTCACCCAGTTTAGCATATAAATTTAATTTGCTTTTTAAATTAAAGTTGACCAAAAGTCTTGACTCAAAGACATGTTTTAGCTAAACTTCTTTAATTGATTTAAAAAAATGTTTTTTCATCCAATAGTTAAGTTTATAAGTCCAGCTCTCCCCTAATTTTGAGTTAAAACTATGCTGTTGGTGGAGGATCTCCTGAGCACTGGCATTGACCTTCCTGTGGGCTGTGCTCCACAAACATTAGTTCCCTGACACTTGAAAGCCAAGAACTACCAAGAACTCCCAGGTAAAGGAGGTTTAGGTGCCTTATTGATGCCAGTGGATCACCCATGAAAGAGTTCCCACCTCCACAAGTGGTGAAAGTCGCTGATAAACTGAGGACTGATGGAAGAACCACATCCTGAATACCACTGCCTCTGTAATGAGGGCAGTTTTTCCACTATAACCCCACAAGCACCTGCAAGGTCAGTGTTTCTTCTTCACCTTCATGTTCACAAGGGTTGAATGTAAATCTTGGTGGACATTACCTTTGTCTCCTCTCACTTTCACTAAAATTAATGGTATTGTGATGGCAGAAGCCTAGACTGTTCCTTAAATTATTATTCCATCCCTCATAGACAGGCACAGAAAACTTTTTAGATTTTAGTTCTAGGCTCATTTATATCAGCCAATTATAAAACCGAAACAAAGAGAAAATCTTAACAAAACAAAACAAAAAAAAAAAAAAAAAAAAAAAAAAATTCCTTGAATTAACAAAATTGTCCTTAATTTCACCAGATTTCATTGCTCATAAAATTATTGTATCCACCCCACACATACGTATTTCTGCTGCTTCTCTGTAAGTTCAGCTAAAAGTCTTCCAAATTTTCTTGTCTTCCTCAATCTCCTCTATCACTTGTCTCTGCCCCTTTTTCTCTTTTCCTCTATTGTCTAAGGAAGATAAGGTAATTTCATTACTTACTTTTTCTCCTCTTTCACCTTTCATTGCTGGGAGACCGTCTCTTCCTTTTTCTCCCTAAAAGCAGGGAAAGGAAACCAAGAAACACGCACATTTTATTGTAATGCACCAGCCTCACTAAAGTATTTTCCACTCTCAGTTATCTATCTTCCAAAATGTAGAGCAAGCAATTAAAAAAGTAACATTTTAAAGATGGCTTCAAAAATCCACTATATTTTCAAACCAATTGTTGTATTGTGTCATCTTAGTTATTTGTTCCATTAAGTGGTTTAGTCCTGTACCCCCTTGTAAATGATCCTGCCTTCCCTTGCCTTTGCCCACTCAAATGTCACTCCTTTCCTCCCTCCAGCCCTTGTCATTAAATTCCTGCCGAGTCATTCCCTTAACCCCACCCTGGGGTCTGTCTGTCACCCGATGTCCCTTCCCTCCCATCCAGAAAGTTCCATCACAGGTGTTGAGTGATAGGTCAGATTCTGGGGGTCCCCTCCTACCAATTCTCCTATTGGTGCCCGTTAGTGCCCATTCCCTGATTTCCACACCCCGTATCGCCCCATAGGTCTATGTGAAGACCATCCCCTTGTCTCCACCGCCTGTTTATAAATACTGTTGCACTGTTCAGTTCAGGGCTTCTGCAGGCTGTTTGTACCTGGGTCAGGAGGATCCCTGGAGTCTCCTAATAAACCTGGATTAAAAACCCCTACAGAAGTTGACTCCTTCTTCTGTTATCATCACTCAAGTCTCTCCTACAGCTACGGGCCGAACCCAAAGCTGCCCTCCTCACCCCCAGGGAACAGGAGGGTGGCCCACGCTGCTTGCCATGTCAGGTCAAGCTGGGCAAATGCTGAGCTATCAGTGGGGGAAAACACAGAGGCAACCAATGAATATCAGTTGACTTCACAGAAAGTAAAGCACCAATCCTGAAATAACTTGCTTGTAGAAGATCCTGCTGCCTGATGCAGTTATAAAAAATAATATTTTTCCGATTGGAAAAGAGGCAGCAAAACAGCAGTTAAGACCAGGGAGTGAATATTGATATTACTGGTTTTGGTTTAGGTTGGAAGGTACATTAAAGACAATTTAGTTTCAAACCTCTGCCATGAATAGATTATGTATCCTGTGCTCTACAAGGCATATAATGGAGCCAACTGCAAGGAAAAAGTTCAGTTGATTTTAGATCCTTCTTGATCACATTCAAGCATGTCATCAGTTATCAGGATTAGAAACCTCACTTACATGGCTAAATTTACTGTCAGGTCCCTGACCCAAATATTTCCTGGTATGAAGACATCTCCAGAGTTCTGCAGCTACCCAGAGGAAGCACTAGACACCAGGACTTGGGTAGAAGTGAAGCCATCAGAAAATAATTCAGCCATCTGAAGCCTTTTCCAGGGCTCAGTGACAAGGTGGATTAGTAACGTTTTGTTGTTACCAAGAATTTTAAATGTCCTTAAATCAGACAAGTAATTTGGAAAGGGAGTCCTAAAGTGCGATCTAACCTCTAGAGTTCTAATATTTTTTACTGCCTCACAAGCAGCATGGCACAACTCTTCCCATTTGGGACAGACACTGCTCATTAGCACCTCTGTGCCAACTGGGAACAGTCACTAGGAAGGGAATAACTTCTTGGGTACTTAGTAACCTTGGTGGTAGCCAATCAGCTGCTCACCACAGCCATCACACCAGGGACATCATCTAGGGACACTCAAGATAAGTCCTCCTGGTGCTAAAGGGCCAAAAGAAGATCAACTTGTGGCTCAAAGTCACTCACCCGGTCTCCTTTTTCTCCTCTTGGTCCTGGTAAGCCCCTAAGACCAGGAAAACCTGCTTCACCCTGAAAACAAGATGAAGTGTGTGAAATCTGAATGCTGTAAGACAGACCCTGCCTGAGTTTTCTCATGAGATTGATGGTAGTTGTAGTTTGCTGAGAGAAAATGAGATTATTTTGATTATCAAATAATTTCTTAAATTTTTTTTAACCATTTCTTAAAGCAGCAAGTACGACTTCTCTGGGTTTTGCCTGTTATCTGATGCCAGAGGATTTAGGACATTTTTCTTTCATCCTGTACTGTAGCAGGATCAAGCAAGCAAATGAAAGCAGAAAAAGAAATACAATCTGACTTTTATTTTCATCATTAATGATCTGGTGTAGTCTGGAAATGCAAAAACTGCAGTGTATTAATCTGAACAGTACAGGTGTCACCCGGTGAACAGATCTAGAATTATCTGAGTGCACTATTGAACATTTGGATTTATTTCTGTTTGAACATTACCTGTGAGTTTCTGCTTTATAATGCTTGTTATTGGAGTAACTATGATCTCTGTGTCATGTGTTTTCTCCTAAATATATCAAATACTCTCAGTTTTAGCTCCCAGTTGACCCAGTTTGTAATCTGAAAATAACCATATGGTTTCCTATTTATAATTCTTTTCTATCTGAATTTATAGTGCAATATCACAAAGGAGATCAGTCATGGACAGGATCCAAATTCACTAAGTCTTGTACAAATACTGAACCAAGAAAAATTAATCTCTAAAGAGACTATTTTAAGTATAGGGAGAACAAAATATTATCATGGTAGAGGTGCAATGGGTCTTTAGACAAAATCAGGTGAGAAACAAGATACTGTAGTAACTGAGGATGTCTAAGATCATCCAGGTGGTGTTGGGAGAATTTTAAAGAAAGTGGCATTTGGTGGCAGATGGAGTGGTGCTTTCTCAGAGCCACCGTGGGATCCTGGCTGTCATGGAATCATGGAATGGTTTGGGTTGGAAGGGACCCTAAAGATCTTCTAGTTCCAGCCTCCTGCCATGGGCAGAGACACCTTCCCTCAACCAGGTTGCTCCAATCTGGCCTTGGACACTTACAGGAATGTAAATGACAGTGGGATCCCTGCGATTCCAGAGATCCAGAGAGTAATCAGAGCATCTAACGTTGAAGGAGACAGAGGAGAATTTAGAGGGAAAATAAAAACGTGGTGTAAATTTGGCTTCTGAAAAGGTTCTGAAGCAAAATATCAGTGACTTTCTATGAGTTCAAGGACAGAAAGTTAATACAAAACAGCCAATGTAGATTTGTTAAAAACTAATCATATAAAACCCATCCAGTTCCCTCCATAGACATGAAAGCTAAGCAGACAAGAAGAAAGCATTTTCCTGATGTATCTTGACTTCAGTGAATTATCTGGCATAGGCCAACATAATGTTCTCATCTGTACCACAGAAATGCAGAGTAGAATGGCATCTGGAGGGTGGTACATAACTGAATGAAGAAATAGCATTCATATACCTGCTACTAGCAACTTACTGTCAAAATTCAGAGGATGTGAAAAGTGAAGTCCTCTCAGGGACAGCACTATTCAATTTATGACAGGAAAGAGAACATTTATGAAACATGCGGAGGACCTCACATTGTGGAGAGAGGGGCAAGTGTCTTGGAAGGTGCCCTGTGCAGGGAGATGATTCAGGCCAAGGAACAGTGTTCTGGTTGGGATCTGACCCTTTGTTGCATTTGGACCAATCCAGCCTGGGAACTTCAAGCCTGATAATTTTTTTGCCCAGCTACAGTGAAGTGACATCAAGGAAGGGTACAGAAACCACTCCTCCCTTAGAGCCTGATGAAAACACTCTTGAGGAATCATTTGCCCATGCTGTGGTGATTTCCCCTTACCTGGGTGTCCTGGTTTGTAAGATAAGCTTGTATTCTATTTGCCATCTGTTGGAGGTTGGGCAGGTTTGTTATCTCTTCCAAGAACAATGGTTTGCTCCGAAGAGGTAATGGTTTGTTAATGGGCCATTGACTGACTCACTGCAGGCCTGGTAACGTAACACCATCTCATTGTGAGATGCTCCACCCAGAGGGGGAAGCCAAGCACTCTTTTATTGTATAAAGTGGTACTTTTTGGGAAACAGAGCAGCTCTCTCTCTTTGCGGGATTCCCAGAGAAGCAGCTCCTTCGGCGGGATTCCCAGAGAAGTGGCCCCTTCGCTGGATTCCCAGAGGAAGACCGGCCCAACTGCCACCAGATCTTCAGAGAAAACTATACCCTTCTAAAGATCACCACTTCAGCTGCAATTCATCAGCCACTGCAAGACGAGCAGCTGTCATTTCAACCGGACTGCTACCAACACCCCGACTCCTCAGGGTGTCAGGTTGTGGACTTTATCACTAGTTCTGTTTGTACCAATTGCATTTGCCTTTTTAAATTGTTATTTAGTTTCTCCTAGTAAAGAATTGTTACTCCCATTCCCATATCTTTGCCTGAGAGCCTTTTCATTTAAAAATCCTGGTAATTCGGAGGGAGGGGGTTTACCTTCTCCATTGCACAGGAGGCTTTTGCCCTCCTTCACAGACTCCTGTCTTGTCAAACCAAGACACTGGGACACCAGGTAAGGATACTTTCCTGGGAACTGAGTGATACCTATCAGGCAGATTATAAGGGCTTTTGGAATAGCAGCAGTACAGTCCAGACTCACAGGGTGGGGTCATTGTTATTAACTTAATGAGTCCCTTATCCCAATAAACCTTTACTTGTGCCTTGGATTTGTAGCCGTATTCCATAAATCGTAGAATCATTAAGGTTGGAAAAGACCTCTAAAATCAACCATAAGTCTCATCCATACTACTGCTGCACCTTCAATCACAGATGCAAGTGACATGCATAGATCTTGTCATTGGCAAATGGATTTCTTATCTCATGTAGTCACTTGCTTTTGACAAGTCAGGTTTGCTGTTAAGCCTGTTTTTCTGCTCACCTGCTCACCAGGTTGGCCACGGCTCCCTGGTTCACCCTGGAAAAACAAAATCAAATCTTTAACATTGTAAGGACTTGGAACACCATAAAAGTCAGTGAACCCCATCTCCTCATCCCCTTATTTCTCCAACTTCAGAGGAATCTCCTTCTCCTGATTCAGTATAAGACCTTCCAAAATCACACATTGGTTGACTCAGTGGATACAGCAGACTATGAAATACAATCCCTTACCTTAGGGCCAGCTTTTCCAGGAAAGCCATCCTCACCCTTTTCCCCTCGTTCTCCCTGCAGGGAACACAACAGATCAATACACAAACTCCTCTGGGAGTTTGTGCAGCACATTTGCAGTCAATGGTGAGGAATATTTTAACTCAGCTCCTCAGGATCACCTTGAGGGTGTAAATGGAGTCATATGAGAATATGCTTCCTGGAATATTTTTCCATTCTAGTGCCATTTACAATCACATCTGCAGGACTCTACACGAGAATTTCTAGAATGACACAATTCCATTAAAGATGTACACACTGAATTATTTGGGAAAAAAAACCTCCATTCAGTTTCTTCAAACTCTATGTTGTTAGTTAGACAGTGTTTCAAAAAACTGTAAAATTTTGGGACTGGGGCCTTGGTCACTGTATCCATTGTGTAAATACTTTAAAACTGACCTTCCAATATGGGTGTCATTCAGCATAGATAGCAGAAGCTGCAGTGGCTGAAATGTGGCTACATAGCTGGAAGTGCAGTAAGTACTACACAGATGTGTGAATAAAATCTAAACTTTGTTTAACATCAGAAATAAGTCATGGAGTGCCAATTTCTCATCTTTATTCATCAATAAATGGGGACTCTGCTAGACCTGGGATCAAGTATCAGAAGCAAGAAAACCTTTGCCAAGGCAATAAGGCAATAGATGGTTAAGAACTCTTTTCTTTAATATAATAATCTTTAATATAATCATTATCCCCAAAACCTAGTTTGGCCTTTGTAGTCAAAATATCGTACATTTATTTGTCCCTTATTTGAAGGGGGATAAGAAGTCAAGGGTCTCCTATCTCTACATTTACTATCTCCTTTCTCCCAGTACAAAGACAATGGAGGAGACAACTCCCCTTCCCAAGCCATAATTTGGAAAACCTTTTAAATGAGGCATAAGAAGTAGGGAATAATAAAGAACCAATTTTCTGCCACACAGACCTAGAGAAGGCTCAGGTGGATGGCATCTCTTTCCAGTCCTTCAAGGAGAAAAGAAAGGAACATCTTTGGAGCCTGCTACACTTCTTTGTTCTTCTTTGTGCCTTGAATACATGCCGTGACCTGCCAGAGCCACTGGATTTCCTGACTGATTATTTGCAATGCCCAGCTGTGTTTTTCCTGCTTCCCTTGCTTGCTCACCCCAATGATCTGCCCAGGTAAGCAGCTTAATCCCAGTGTCTGTGGTGTCACTTGCCTTTTGACCTGGAAGCCCGGGAAGCCCACTGAGTCCATCTTTGCCAGGCAGCCCCTAAACAAGGGGAAAACACAAGCTCTAAGTGCCAGTTCTTTAAAGTGTCACCAGCAAACTCAGCATACATATGTTCAGCTCATCCCTCCTGCCACTCAACTAAGTTAAAGAAGAACCCCCTCATGCATTTTGGTTTGACTTTTATTTCCTACTATGTCTCAAAAGACAAAAATTTTCACTGTATATTTTTACTCTGCCCTTTCTTTCAGTATCCCAGTTTTAGTGAATGACCACTGGATGTCAGCATTGCTATAGGAAAACTCCAGTAGAGAGCTTTTATGTACTGAGGATCTTTACTTTTTTAATGTATCTTACTTACATTTTAACTTACTCTCTATAAGCCCCTATTACCTGTAGCTATTTTCTTTTTACATCTGTTTCACTTTTTAAATCTTGGTAATTTCTTATACAGTAGATAGACACCTAAAATTAAATTATGTAGCACATAGTGACAGAGTGGTTCAGCAAGATAAGAATTAAAATTTATTCCTATAATGCATTTAAAACCACAAGAAAAAAGTTTTCTTCCCTTTTCCAATGAATCCACACACATTGCAGGCTGTAGGTGGCAATACTATACTAAGTATTTAATTATTCAGCTTTTATGATTTAAGAACAACAGAAATTTCTACACTCTGCTAAATCTGAGATTTTAATCATGAGTTATTTGGCCTGATTCAGGAAATTCCAGGTTTGGAGAAACAATATTGTGTCAATTACGAAAGGAATTTTGAAAGGTATCATATAAAGAAAACATCATGATCCAATCCCGTAGGAATAGTGAGGCTGCACCTGGTAAAATTCTTATTCACAGAAGGTATCTGAAACTCATTTCTGGATTAAAAGTGACAGTATTGGAGCCCATGTTAAAATCTTGCATGCAGAAAAGATGTGGGGAAAAAAGCAGACTTCACAATTAAACTATCTGAAGTAATGAAGAACTTTGAGGTGAGGGAAACAGTTCCTCAACACTTACAGCTGGTCCAGGTGGTCCAATTTTACCAGAAACTCCAATCTCTCCTGGCAGTCCCTGAGAAATGAAATAAGGAGAAAAAATAAATCAGTATTTCTGTTCTCTGTAGGAATCTCACTGGAGATTGCTGCTTTCACTTGAAGTGCATTTTCCCCTTCCACTGCAGTCAGGTCACTGCTGTGGGGTGCCCTGGAGACACTGAATTATCCCCAGGAAGCACCAGTGTGGTTCCAAGGCTCAGCAGGGAGAAGCTGTGCTCTAGGAGCAGTTGTGGCTTTGCAGCAGAGAAAATAGAAGAGAAAATCCACATTGCCAGAGGCCTTAACTCTGTTCCCTCTGAAAGCCATGACCTAAAATTTTCTCCAGCTGTTTTTTCTTCTCTTTGATATAAAACAAAATTCCCAGGATTTCTTACCGGTGGCCCAGGTGGTCCTGGGGGTCCAGCAATCCCTGGGGGCCCTGGAGGTCCCTGCAAGAGAAGAAACAAAGCCAATTTATCAAATTATAGTAGCTGAAAGCTTAAGGTCCTCCCCTGTGTAACAGGGGCCCTGTAGGAAAACACTGAGCTTTATTTGCTTAACTTCTGCCCAAAAAGTGCAAGACGCCAAAGCAAGGGGCCATGAACACAAGTAGAACATTTTCTTCTGCTTCAGCCACTGCTGCCATTACTACAAGGGGAGCTCCATCCTCCACTCCAGTGCAAGAGAAGGAGGAGTGCAAGGCCATCAGTGGTAACCTAAAACACAAAGCTTGACCAGTGGGATTCCTTGGAGCATCCAGACAAAGCTAATCTTGGTTCATGTTGTTTCAAAGTGGATAATTTACCTCTGAAAAAAAAAATAAAAATTCTGAAAGCAACTAATGAATGAACAGGCTTGTGGTTTGAGCTTGCTTTTTTTTTGGGAGGGTGGGGTTAAAAATACGAATCCAAGAGAAATGCTGCAATCATTCAAGTATCTTAAAACAAATTTTGTCACCATTCTGTTGCTTGACATCAACCTTCTAGGTAGTAAAAGATTCTCACAAACTCACAGTTTGATGAACACTTTCAATTGGAAATATCTTAACATGCTGCTTCATTTCCCTGCAACAGCTGTTTCTCTTAGGAGAGATATTCTCTCAATATCCACCTGGTTTAAAGATGGATCTATTTTTATGCATCAAGCAAATTGTTAAATTTGGCTTCCTGTGAGAGATTTGTTTCCAGTCTTGACAAATCTTAGTATGTTGCTTTAGATACAAAAGGTGTTTGTTACTGCCAGCTTCTCCTGTAGACAAGACAAGACTTCTCCTACGCTCAGAATGAAACATGTTAATGTATTTTTTGGATCAGGACCTGAGCAAACAGCATGAGAAATGGATATGTGACTGAGCTGAAATTTTACTCTGGATGCCTTTCTGTCTTTCTAACATGACAATCTCACTAATTTTAAGTTTTCAGCATAAGGAGAGTTCTGATGTGATCCTACTTAATAAAACAACAAACAGCCCCAGCCAAAACCTCTGTAAACATTTGAAACTGAGCAACTGATACAAGAGAGAAAATGGCCAGACAGCATTCTCCCTCTCATCCTTCAATATTAAGGCATTACAAGTCATAGATCAATATTACCATTTATTTTTAATGAAAAACGTAGACGATTAGAAGAAAATGGTGTAAAAAAAGTGAGGAGAAGGATCTGTTTGAGGAGTGGTTTGGTAGAGATGGCAGATAAGTGATCTTATAAAATACATC